GACGAGTGAGTCATTTTTCATTGTCCAAGTTTGACAGGGTAACTAGCTATGAGCAATGATAACTTTATCTTTTTAGTTGACTGACCAATGTGGAAAATTTTTGCAAATGCAGACTTCATACTGCGAACACCAACTTTATCACAGCATGCAGGCTGTTCAAAGTCAGGCATTCACAGTGTGCAGATCAGCAATGCCCTGTATGATCAATTTACAATGAATCAGTACTGTCAGTGGTTAACATGATATGAACATTTTTGGCAATGATTATTTCAATTACTACAAAATGCTCTCAGCAGAGCACAGACCTGCCAAGTATGTGTGTTCAGTCCATTAAATACTGTTTAATATGCAATACCTGGTTGGAGATGTAAAGTTTACCATCAAATAAATGATGTAACGGGAACATTAAATTACTGCATATCATGGAAAATGGCTTTTCCCCCTTGAACACCAGGGGAGCTATGTGAGGATGCTTTTCATATTTTAGCTCTACCTTCACCACTGTCATCCCCAGCAGATTGGAATCTAAAGTGAGTGACCTCAGACTTTCACAGACCACCAGCTACTGGATCAAGGACTTTCTAACCGCTGAGGTTGGTTAGACTCAGACAGTCAGAATAGGTAACCACCTTTCCTTCACCATCACACTCAGCACCGGCTCCCCAGAGGGCCGCGTGCTGAGCACCATGCTCTACTCACTGTACAATATGACTGTCCCTCCATCCATAACTGGAACACCATCATGGAGTTCGCTCTAGTTGGGCTTATTTCAAGAGGGTCATAAGTCCACCTACAGAGATGAAGTCCAAAGACTGATGGTGTGGTGTCAGAGAACAATCTGGTGCTGAACGCCACAAAAACCAAAAACATATCATAGACTTTAAAAAAAAAAAAACACCAGACCCTGACCCACTAACCATCAATTTGGACTGTGTGGAAAAAGTCCTGCCTTCAGGTTCCTGTGTACACACATTGATGAAGATCTCTCCTGAACTTCCAACACCACAGCAGTTGTATAGACAGCACAGCAGCAACTCCACTTCCTGACTATACTCTGAAACTACAAGCTGCAGGAAAAGCTACCGCTGTCCTTTTACTGCTGCTCTGTTGATAGCATGCTGGTGTATTGTATCACCGTGATCACTGTGTGGTTTGCCAGCTGCTCAGCAGCAGACAGCAGAGCCCTCCAGAGGATCATCAACACCATCCAGAGGATTATCTGCTGTTCACTGTGTTCTTTACAGGACTTAATCAGCTCTTGCTGCCTCAGTAGAGCAGCAAACATTCTTAGGGATTAGTCCCCTGGACGCCATCTGTCAGACCCACTACCCTCAGGTAGACACTTCAGGTCCATCAAATCACAAATGAACAGACAGAAAAATAGCTTCGACCCCAGAGCCATTGGAGAACTGAACTTTGATAAAAACTTGCATTAACTGTCTGGACTTGAGTGCCTACTTGTAATTTCTACAACCTACTTATGCACTTGGCAGTGACTTTAATGTACTAAAAGATAATTGATAAATTTTGTTGTGAAATAGCAATGAGGGGGAAAAATAACTACTTCTAATTCATACATATATGAAAGTAAACAAGAAAAATTTTAACAGTGCAAAAATTATAATTTTATTGAGCATGAAAATAAGAAACAGAAATGCCTAACTTTAAGTCTGGCACCTTGAAGTGGTGAAACTCAAACATGGATTATCAGCCTGCACACTACAGCAGTGCACTAAAATAGATTGAACACAAAATTCAAGGCAATACACTGTCCCAGCAGAGTATTTTATATTTTTTCGTTTTTTCAAACTGCATTTAAAAAAACTAAATTCAAAGACAGTTTTCTGTCTACATTGTTAAAATAAATGTTTAATATTTGTATTATGTGATTTGGTTAGAGCACAAAAAGCTGCACAGGAATGGACTGATCAAGTAAGAGTCGAAGTGTGTGTGATTTAAATTTGCAAAGTTCTTTTTTAGCTAGCCCCTCTAACATGCTTACCTGCCCATCATCTGCCTTGTTTTTAGGGAAATTGAGAATCTGTTTGGTGGTCTGGTCCCATTTAGCATATGTATCCTCCCAAGCCTGAGGAGAGAGGCCACAGACAAAAACTTTAACACAAGTGCGAATACAGCAGTGAGAAGAAACTGACCAATGGAAAATGTCAACCTGACAACAAGTACAGGTAAATATGGGGCTTTAAATTACATAGTTTGGTTCAGGGTCAGCAGGCAAATCTGTTTCTGCATGTTAATAGACTGAACATTCAAAGAGACATTTTAAAAAAAAATAGAAATTCAGTTTTTCTGGACAAAACTTTTATGGTGTCATTATATTTAAAGAATCAGATACCATGTGAATTATCCAAAGAATTTACGATTTACAACCACAACAAACAAAAAACGTGTAACCCATTGAAATTTTAATGAAATATTACCTCAATGTTTCCTGGTGTAGGGTGCTCTATCCTCCTTAACAAGGCCATCACCCTCTTCTGCAAGGTGGAGCGGCCTGAGGACATTAAAATCAAAGTGCTTATGAAAACTAGAAGATCAAGTCCTCAAGTTGGCAATGTGTGCATTACTAAGCATTATAAACTTACAAATATCTGGAATGTGGCCTAAACAATTACTTTGGTAGATATCTCATTGACATGTATCAAGCATGCTCTACTACAGCAAAACTCCCATCACAGGCTCTACCTGTCCAGTAAACTGCTGTCTGGATATGAGAGGAGATGTTGTCAGACTTACACGACTTTCGCCTTCCCTTTCACGCTATTTGCATGTCACCCTTTGCTACAAAACAACAAGCTTTAAGGAGCAACTTCACACTGAAAAGTTTTGATGAAGAATTGGACTGTGCAGAAAGCCAGGATGATTTACGTCTTTTGTTAAATTAAACCATTCTGATGACAGTGCTCGTCTCCCTGCATACAAATGTTGCACCACTGTGTGACTGATTTAAATAAATACAAACAAGCCACCGAGTTCTCCAGCTATAGCAAAATGACAATGGGTGCAGCCACACCACTCTCCAGCACTGACACAGTGCTCGGACTAGCTACATCTACAATAATGTTGACCAGATTGAAAGCGTAGAGATCTGAAATGTTATCATTTATCATTAACTATGTGATCCAACTCAGAGCTCCTGGATAACGATTAGATTATTCCTCTAGAGAAGAGTCCTCACTCTGTTAAACCACAGTCACAATGTTTAGTGGCATCTAAAGTAGAGCTGTTATTTAGTTATTATCATTAATCTGCAGTCAATTTAATCTTCTGCTGCTGGCATTGGTCATTTCAATCGAACAATATTACAGACAGCTCCACGCCTAAATGTGAAGTCGCTAATATTACATGTATGTTTTCAAGATTGGCCTTGCCAACAAAAATACATAAGAGACATAAAAAGTTTGACAAGAGACTGTGCTACTTTGTCAAAATGGAACCAGATGCAAAAAGGTAAAATTGAATCCCTCCAGTATTACTTTGTTCTTTTGTCATTTTTTTTAATCTCATGGCATGCAAGTGAACAGTGTTCATATGTGCAACAGCATAATAGGTTTGAATGGTTTCGTCAATTTATATCATAAAAATGCAAAAACAAACAAAAAAAAACAATAACAATATGAGGTACAGTACTAAACAAGCTCTAGCATTATCTCAGGTCGGGGAGGAAGGGAGGAGCGTTACTGACCTGTTCCCATCATGTTGCTGACAGAGGCCAGCTCACTAAAGGTGGCGTAGTTGGGCAGGATTGTCTGAACGGGCACCTCATCAGTTGCGCTGCGGATGTCAGCCTCCTCACAGAGGTGGCGGAAACAGGACATGGCCACCAGCACCGCCTCGGTATCTGGACTCCACAGGAACATGTAGAGACACACCTCCAGCTTTGTCTGTGCCTGCCGGCAGATGGGGATGGCGCCACCCACAGTGGCACACTCCTGGAACAATCAAGGACCAAAAATACAGCTTACACAGTGCATCACCTACACACAGTGTGTCACATCAAATCCGAACTCCTTTTAAGTCAGAAATGTAATTCTGAAACAAAAGTCGGATTCTTAAGACTGTGAAACACACTCTGTGACGACTAAACTGCTCAGAGCTATACAAGTGTAAAATGCACTAACTGGTCCAAAGGTCACTTACATCATTTGCTGCCATGTCGTTGGTTTGGCTGTCATTACCTCTGCCTTCGACTTGATTTTTTTTAAAACTAATAAAGTGGCTTGTTGTTTCAGTTAGGAGACAGGACTGCACCTTGTTCTTGAGCAGAAACTTGTTCCTGCAGATGAGAATCTCTCGCAGCCATTTTAGAACTTCTGTCCCATTAACCATTTGCTGGCCAATCAGTTTGCGGCAGATTATGAAGAGCACCTGTGAACTGAAGAAAAGAATAAAGGAAATAAGTCCCATAAATGTCTATGTTTACAACATTCAAAATCAAATGTTTTATGTTTTTTCACACTATGATGACATTTACTGTATTAAACACAGGAAATCACATGCTTACGACAACATCTCAGAAAACACTCTGATCAATATATTTGTTTTACTGCTTCACTTTTCTCACAGAGAGCAATGCTTAATGCTCATAATATATGAATCATGACAGCATCCATCTATCTGTTGGTGATGCATTGTAACAAACACAAAGAAGCAGGTTAGCTGTGTTTAACAACCTGCTCATCTGCTGCCCAGATCACACTGTCCTGCTTGACATCACCTATAAAGTCTGTTAAACACAATCCGTAAAATGTTTCACACCACGTCCATATTTTGACACAAAATTAAATCATAATTAAAGACCTCACTACCTGCAATGTTTTCAGAACATCTGTTGTGACTTATTCCACCATCCTTGCTGTAGACTCCACAGCTCAGCCCAGAACAGCTTGGAGCAGAGGAACTGATATACAATGTGCTTTCTAGGATCAGGTGTAGGAAGCTTCCAGGTATTAATCTCACAAACCTTTCTTTTGACAGAATGTGCATACTGATCAACTGTCAACATTTTTAAGTAGACCAGTCACAGCAAAGGGCTATGTGGTGTGAGTGTGGATTAGGTATTTGATCTCCTATTTCTTTATGGAAAGATGAGAAGACTGTTGAGTACCTGATGTCCCAGAACGTCTCTATGGGGGCATCAGGATTCCACAGCTCTATGGTCTCTGGCTGGTGCAGAACTAACAGAGCCTGGGAACCAACAGGACAGGAGGCAGTGTAGGTAGAGGAAGAGAGAGATATATTTATCATCATCTACATTTACACACCTCCCATTTCACGAGTACAACAAAGTCACATCCTATTCACCACAACACAAACACCCTCTTCTTTTTAAAGTATTTCCAGTTGCTTCAATTTTGCCATTATAAGCTCCGTCAAATTTAACTCATGAAACTCACTGTTAACGTGTCAAATTAACAGCATTCCAGCAAATTAAAAGGCAAAATTACTCCTCGTACTGATAGGCTTTTAATTTGAAACATCTGTAGGAACCTCCCCTCCAGCAACTTCACAGGAATGCAATACTAAATGTCCTGAGTTCTCCTTTAAAGTATGACCAGCATAGTTTTATTCTTATGTATAGTGTTAATCTGATTTGTTTTGTTTGACAAGAAGTTGATAATGAGAAAACAAATCTTCTAAAAGGCTAAATGGTCCCGTGCCATAAAAATGAGAAGCCAAAGTCTTCATTTAGCAAAGCACTGCGTTTATTCTCTGACCTCCATGGCTTCTTGTGAGAGCTGGGTAGTGTTGTTTAGAGGCACTAGCTGCACCAGGCCGGTGATGAGCTCTGCTGTGCTGCTCTGCATCTCTGGAGCTTGTTTCACTGGATTCTAAAACACAACAACACATCAATTCACAATTAGGAGTAAACTGTAACCTATTTAAGTTCAAGAAGGATTTTGTCATTCCAGTGATTAAAAAGCCATAAAATCATTAAACACTGACATGAAGCAAAAAAAAGCTGTCAAAAACTGAAAACAAGAATATACTGACTGAAGAAATGTATCTTAATTCCCAAAAAACAAATGAATGTTGTTTCTAGCTGCTGAGTCGTACAGACAACAATGTTGAGTGGACTCACATGCAACATGAGTTTGGGGTCTGCATGGATGAGCTTGACCAGAGCGAGAAGGAGGCACTTGTAACTTCGAGTGTCCTGGTCTGTGGTTTTCTCTTTGAACTTAAGGCTGGTGGTCTTCTTTCCTATGAATGTCAGACTCTGTAGGAGGGCACAAGTCAACAGGAAAGACACTGCTTAGGTTCTCTGCTTTTAAATTGCATTACAGCATCCTCAAAACATTTTAAACAAATAAGTTAATTATAGACTCTGAATTAATTCAGATGAGTGACAGTTAAGATAAAATAAGTCCATTGTCTCATTTTGATGCTGATAAATAAATGAAGGCAATGTAGCAATGATAAAAAAAAAACTGAGCCCCATTTTTGTCTATGAACTAGGAAAAAGTTGTATTTTGACTCAGTCCCACATGCAGGCAACATACAGCATCCTCCTGTCCCAAGTACTGCCTAAATCAACAAACATGGAATAATTTGCTGCATAAAATATCAGTCACAACATAAAACCACCTGCCCAATATGGTGTAGATGTGGATTGTCTCAAGATACTGTTTCTGGAAAGAAGTGTGTAATAATTCTGTCTTTTTTAAGGCTTATGTTTCAAATTAAATCTGTCTGAATATCAAGCTAACACTAAAATTCTCCATTTTAAATTGTATTATTGCACTTTGTATTATAATTTGGATGAGGCGGCATTTTAGCTTGAAGAAAAAAAGTTTGCCTTCACAAATCACTGAAGTCCCAAAAGGCAATAACACACCCCAAATATATATTGACTCAAACAGCTACACTGCAGCACCACTATTTTAAATATATTTTATATGTCAACATACACAAATCTTTCTAACTAATATATCCACAGTATAATTTTTTATTGTTAATTCCTTGAGCGATTGTATCAGTTCATGTTTGCAGTAATGTCGCGACTGAAAATATTATTGCATTTACTAGGAAACAATGAAAAGTCCCAAAAAAATCTCTGTAACAATAGATTTGTTAAACTTGATAATATTGTAATTCTTAGGGAGGAAACTATATTTGGACTACTGTTGAAAATAAAAAAAACACTTGATTGAGCTTGACTATTTTAATGATTTCACAACAGAAACAATAAATCTGCTTAGCTGTTTGCTTTTTAAAAGGCATTTAGGTTAATAAGGTTATGTACAATCACAATGCCACCTAAGATGTAAATAATTACTGAAGTTACCACTGCTGCACAACCTGCATATTGTACCGGCCCTCTCTTAGTTTGGGGGCAGTATTTATCCTGCTACTGTGTGATGATACAGCTGTTTCATAAAGTCAAAGAACGAAGGGTCACATATTAGTTCAAGGCAAGACAAAGTTTAAAGGCAGATTTTGTGATATTGAAGAAGACTTAGCTGTAGACTGTACCGCAAAGGAAGTTTGACATAGCCAGGTTTTTTTTTTTTGTGCAAGTCAGGTTGACAAAGCCAAAGCCCCAGTCAGAGATCACGGGTATCATGACAGTGGTTATCAACTTTCTTTGTTAACTCAAACTTTCTGCTTCAGACCCTGTGCATGTTCTCATAAATGGAGACATATAACGCATCATATGACTCTTCTTCTGCGCAAAATGGAGCGATGATGTGGTACCTACTTTTAACAACTGGCTGTTTTAAGTAAGAGCTATGAGGAATGTAAAAAAATATGACTGTAAAAAGCCCTGCTACTACAAACAATGGAAGAAAGGAATGCAGGTAGAAAAATGTTAATTGTGTGTTAATATATGTATTTTACAGATGAATGCAGCCGCTTTTTTTTCTAGCTGACAGCTGCACATTAGAGCTGTTAAACTTTAAACTTCATATATTTAAATAATAATTTTATATGATATCGGAATGAAGAGGCTACCAGGTGGCTCGGTGGTTAGCACTGTTGCAGCAAGAAGGTCGCTGGTTCGCATCCCGGTGAGGACACCTGGGATCTTTCTGCATCGAGTTTGCATGTTTTCCCCATGCAGCGTGGGTTCTCTCCGGGTCCCTCCCACAAGGTCCAAAAACATGTAATTGGTAATTCTAAATTGTCCGTAGGTGTGAATGTGAGTGTGCTTGGTTGTCTGTCTCTAAGTGTAGCCCTGTGATAGACTGGCGACCTGTCCAGGGTGTCCCCTGCTTTCACCCTAATCAGCTGGGATAGACTCCAGCCCCCCTGTGACCCTAAATGAGGATTAAACGGTGTATAGATAATGGATGGATAGATTGCAATGAAGTGCATTTAAGCCTGAATCCATTTTTATACTGTGTGTTATTAGCTGCAGTACCAGCAGTGTAAACGGACCCGGCAGCAAATCAGAACCAAACATAAAAACATATTTATGCGTTGTCTTCATAACCAACTGAATGCATTTAGGTAATACAACACATATTGTCTGCAATAGGCACAAGGGCCAAGTAAACACTGTAACTTCTTTGTGATATAGCTCAAAATATTTAGTTAAATTAGAATATCCTCATTTAGCAAAATGACGATATTCTTAACTTAAGGACAATGCAAAGTGTGATTCATTTTTAACTTTAATTTACAAAAACTCACACAGTCTCCTCTTCCTTCTTGATTATTTTGAATCTGCCAATTTCAAGTGGTAAAGGAAGGATTTCTGATCTCAACTGTGCAACTAATAACCTCTGACTTCTTCACAACTCATTTCCATACCTGGTCTTTCCATGGTTGTTTATTTCACATTCTTTAAATTTCCACATAGTTTGAGAAAAACTAGTGACTAGTTGTTGCTTTTTATTAATTTCACATTTTTCAAAAGGTTTTATTTACATTAATAAATGGTTTCTAAAATGGCCAACTGTCTGACTACTTTTTTTGTTGCTGGACCCATGGAATTCATTGATTTCCTTGATCTCGACATTACTTTGGTAAACACAATGTTATTGTTACTGAGACAAATGATGAACAATTAATGTAGTTAGTAATGTTGCTGTCCACTCACTGGTGTCATACGTAGTGGAGCGTGGGTGCCAGCGCCTTGGATCACCCGGTTGAGGGTGTCTGAGAACATAAAGCGAAGCTCCCCAGAGTAGCAGTACACTGCATCGATCTTAGGCCACCAGTCCAGATGGGACTGAAAGCAGACAGCATAGGATATTTAATGACAAGGCAAGTAACATAAAACTACTTCCATAAACACTTATGTGTAAAGAAGCTTTGTAGACTTACATTGGTAATTATTCTGTGCAACGAGTTGACCAGGACAAAGTGAAAGGTGGAGGGTGAAGAGGAGGCCAAACAGACCTACAGAACAACAAATAGACGATCATAAGCATCACTGAGAGCTATGGATGTTGTGCACCTGCTCCAAAGTAAGATTTACAAACCAAACAAAAATGAATATCACTTCATTTGAGTCCACCTTAAAGTGCTGGTTGTTGTGAGGATTGATACGGAAACAGGAGACAAAGCAGTCCATCATGAGCTCCACATCAGCATTCTGACTGCCTGTCCCCCTCCAGAAGGGTTTGGCTGGGTTGAACAGCAGAGCCTGATGCAATATTGAGGGTCACAGGTTACTTTACAGGTTTTACGGTTTTTAAGTACATTTCTTGTGAGATAAATTTCATATTTGTTACAATACCCTAATAAAGATTAAACTATGGGGGTCCGTTACAAATACTGTACATACACAAACTTTTCAGCCTACATTTTCCCAGAGCCTGTCCAGCAGCATAAGAAAAATAAAGCTGGATTCATAGTCCAGGCAAACTGCAGGTCAGCTGGACAGAAAGCGTATTTCAACAGAAGTACTCTGGATGAGAAAAAAATAAAAGACCTTCTCTCCAAAAGACATTAGAGTATTCCTGTTTCAACAAAACAAGTTACACATGACCTTCAAATCATTTTCCAAGAGTCTCTTACAAATCTGCTCCTCTAACCAAAATAGAAATAGATGGGCACATTTAAACTAGATTTAGGAATAGCTTGGAAAGAGCTTAAAGAATTAATCTAACCAAAGGAAAGACCCCAAACTTTTGTTTAATGAAGTTACTCAAGTCACTGTTACTGAATTTTCCAGCAGCAGTGACAAAAACGTAAAAAAGGAAGTGTCTGTTTAACTGGTCAGACCTTAAGATCCATGACGATGGACTGGACCAGGAGGAAAATGGTGGAGTGATCTTCCCAGTTGATGTAGGTGGAGGCTTTACAAAGCTTGACACAGGCGATGGCAGCACTCTCTGTCAGCTGCTTGCTGCTACCCTGCCCCGCTAAAGCTTTCCGTAAACTGTCCAAAAAAAGTTTCTGCGGATACAACAGGACATGAAACTGCGTGAGTGCTTGAGCAGGTCTCAGCTGTGTGTGTATGTGTGTGTGTGTGTGTGCGTGCGTGTGCGTGTGCGTGTGCGCGTGCGTGCACTATTCTCCCACCTTGTTGGCCTTGCTGTCATCCACTGTATCTTTAGAGATTGTGTGTGTGATCTCTGGACAGAGGATGAGTAGGATGATCTGAAGTGGCCACACTGCTGCTTTCCTCTTGGCACTCTCTGCAAAGCTGTCCACCAGGTCAAACAACTTCTCTGCAGCTTCTGCGAATACACCAAAACACAAACACACAATTTACACACAGTCAATGACAGCACCTCAGTTTTTAGGCTTTCATGTGGGGCATTCAAAACTTTACATAAACATAATTGCAGTCAAATAAAAAATAAAAAAACATGTTCAGGTGACAATGTTTTTCATTATCCTACCTAAAGAGACCAGACCGTAAGTGTTTGGACAGTAAAACATTTTTTTCTTCAGCATCTGTCTGTCAGCACCTTCAATTTCAAATTCTGAATTTATACTTAGAAGGGTTTACATTAGCATCGAGACAACTGTATTTGAGATAAAGCCCTATTACTACATAATGCCAGAGGTGTTGGGGTCTCTGGATAATTGAACACATACACATGATATCAAGCAATTATTACATTTATTATTTTGTATGCAAGCAACAGACTTTTTGGATCTACAAGCATCACAAGACACTTCACAGACATGGGACCCGGAAGATTGCTGGTTTCATCAGTCAATTAAAGTGACGACGTTGTTTAACTCAGATATAGGTCACTTTTGCTTTAATGTTCCTCATGCTTTCACTCAGACACTCATTACAGTTACAGAGAGAGCCATGGTACACAGATCAGACAAGACACCAAGTGATGTATAGTACATAATAATGTAGTAACAGATGAAATCTAAACTATAGCAGCTTTGCAAATTGTACACACAACTAACAGAGTAGTGTATTTAAGATTTCCTTAAAATTATGTCTGTGTGTGATGATATTCTAACTACTACTTTAAAAACAGTAAAATAACAATATCCCAACACCATACAAGTCTGAAATGAACCGTCACATTAATAGACAGATGTGCAAAGTCACAGTATTCTGAATTATGTGAAGTGATGTGGAAGAATATTTGCACATTTCAGCACCAATATTTTATCCAAAAACAGCACAAAGAGTCAATCCTGCGCTTTCAGTTTCACTGTTCAAAAATTGTAAAGATAAACTGGGCTTGTAGTTGTTTGGATACTTTGATCAGCTGCTATCAACTTAGATTTAGTTTCTTATTGTCTTTTTATGCATTACACATCACTTAGTGTATTGTCTAGTCTTGTGTGAATGACAAATATTGCATCCATACCGTGACACTCTCTGGCACTGTGGTGGGTTTGAATGAGACCATAGGGAGCATTGACAGAAAAGTGACTTACTCCTAAATAACTAGAATGCTGACTCAAACTTCAACAGATTGAAGAAGCTAGCAATGTTTCATGTTCAATGTCTGAAAGAGGCTTCACTAAACATTAATCTAAGTGGTTAGTGTCTGCATTCATTGTAGTAAAGTTTGCAGATGAATTTTGAGTTTTGCAGATGAATGATTTAAGAGCAAAGTCGGTTTAAAAGGTGTGTTGTGATTTTAGATCACATAGTGTTGTAATCTATCTGTGATGTTTTTGGATGAACGCTGACGCTGAAGTATGAAAAAGCCTTCTCTGAATCACTTCGCACAAGTCAAAGTACCATGGTTTTATGTTTTGAATTGTCTTACTAAATAATAGAATGTGGCCCATGAGGTTTGAAGCATTTGTCTGAATGTGAGCACACAGGATGCTCCTATGTACCTCTACATTTATCAGTGTTTCCAACAGCAGTGAAATCACTAACTGTTAGTGTTGTACTTCCAGTAGTAGCCATATGTACCAAAACTATAACAAAAGTAACACTACATTTGACAGATGATGGTGCTTTTAATCAGTGTCCTGTTCAACTCTTTTATTTTTCTTCCACACTTTCCTCTTCCCACCAAACTTATAAAGGTTATTTTTTGTTTCATCAATTCATAGTTGTTGCACAACTCTACCTGTTTCCCTATGATTTTGCAAACGGCCATTATCTTTATTATTGCCACTATCTATTTTTAGGCTTACCAGGGCTTTGCATCGTGTACTGAATCTTCTGTGAAATCTTCTCTTGATCTTTTACAAGGAAACATGTTTTAAGCCTCATTAACTTCTTTACGGGCATTTTCACCCTATTGTACCATGTACTGATACTTCAATCTAAATGGCGATTCTCAGTCAATTCTGAGCCATTCGTGAGCCCTGTTATGCATTAAGTAACATTAAACGGCACACCGCTCTCCCACAGACTTCTAGATGCCAATTACTTTTGAATCTTTGAAATTTGGGCACTATATTATGTCATCAACACTCACGCAAGCCTGCTCAAATAAAAGCTGAGACTTACCAACTTCAACGTATCCATTATTTTATTTTAAATTGAATGTATTAAGATTAGAGCCTGAAGAAGGGAAAGGGGAAGAAACGTGTAACCATCCAAATATTTATGGTTTGGATCGTGTGTTTAAGTACTGAGAACTGGCTTGCTTAGGTAGCTTTTTAAAGCTGCAATCGGTAGAGATTGTATAGTATTTCAAGAAAAAAAATACGTTAAAATCAAATACTGGACAGAAAGTAAGTTTGAAGATGGACTACATTTCTACAAAAAAACAAAACAAAACAATCAAGTCAAAGTTGAACTGAGTGGTCTAATTTCTTTCCTACCTGCCATATCTGCCTGTGGTCGCTGGTACAGCATGGTGAACTCATCTGGGTAATTCTCCACCCAGTTCCAAAACGCCTGTAGTGAGACAACCATGTAACATGTCAGTAATTCATTCAGCGTTTTGTGGGAGCTATTCAAGCATTAAGCATTACTCTGGTATTGGAAATGGCTGGAAGAAAAAGTACCTTCTCTAAACTGTTTATGACTGCGAGCTGGGCAGGCTTCTTAAGCGCTCTAAACTTCAGTACAGTTTCTGAAAGAAAACAAACAGCGTTACAGAAAAAAAAACAACAGACTTTGCACATTCATCACAAAGAATGGTTAAAACTCTCTCTCGCATTTTTATCATTTCTAGATCAGGAATTCTCTACATCAAAATGTCATGACTTCAATCTTCAACCAGTCCAACATATTTCTTGGTTGTTTACAGGGAACTATTATGTTATAACTTGTTAATGTAAACCTGTAAGAACATTAAAAGCAGACCTTGTAGCAGTCTCTTCAGCTTGGAGCAGTCCACATTGATGTACTGCATCAGCTCTATGTCATGAACATCCACATTGTCCTCTGAGCACACGGTCAGCTCCTGTAGTCTGAGGAGACACACAAATGTGAATTCTGCTACTGTGGATGCAGTCAAACACATCAAGACATAAAGTCCAACATTTTGTATCCTCCCTCTGGAAATGAAAACTATTTATGCAGAGCATGTGACTTCTTTTCAGCATCATCCAGCTCACTATGAACATGTACTCTCATAGTACTTCCATCTATAACCCAAAATGTTAAAATCATTAAAATGATCTTTTAAAAATGTCTAAAAATATATAAAATAAACAACTCACATGTAAAATATCAAAACTTTAGATGAAAGGTTTCCATAAAATGTGTGTTTTGATTGTGCTTCCAAGCACCTGAGCATTCATTAAAACCCTGTATTTAATATTCATATTGAGACCAGATATGTCCCACTACAGCTACGCATGTTGAAAAGCTCCTAAACCGGCTATGACTTATACATGATTTTATTTTGTTGATATTCTGTTTGTATACTGTGATGTTCCACATTATAATGACACTGTTTAATGACTTGTAGAAGTACTTTTGCATTAACCTGCATTTATTAAACTGAAAAAGGAAATTATGTAAATTATCTCAAAACAAAACCAAACAAACTTACTTTACACCCGACCTTGTTTTTTTATTGCTGAAAGACAAGACTTTCCCTGACCGTGAGATTATTCAAATCAAATTATAAAATCAAGAAAGTCTTGTGTATCCTCGCTCATAGCTCCTCTGAGGTCCTTCCTAGCTTGTTGCTCTTCAGAGCAGAAATAAAAATATAGAAATTATATGGCCTTTACTATCCTAGGACCTTCAGTAAAAAAGCAACTGGACTTCTTGTTAAAGTTCTTGAAGATGTTTCACCTCTCATCCAAGCAGCTTCTTCCATTCCTAGGACTACCATAACCTGAATGACTAAGAACCAACACAGACATATGGCCTTCAAGATGCACAACAATTTCTGGGTCGAGCAAATGTCAAAAGAAGTTCAATAGGAGAATTGAGATATGTCCATTATCTCCCTCATATCCTTCCTTACTTAAGTGCATATGAATTTAACTAACCAATATGATGACATTAATAGTAAAATCAAACTTACAATAAAAGCTCAATAGTGGTCAAAGTACTAACGTTTTATGCATATTTAGTGGTACCACGAAAATGGACTCTACTGGAGTGACATACATCAGTCAGCCACAACATTAAAACCACTCACAGATTAAGTAAATGACTATTTTGTTGCAATGGCACCTGACAGTGGGTGGGATATATTCACCAGCCAATGAAGAGCCAGTTCTTGAAGTTCATGTGTTAAATGATTGAAAATGGGAAACGGCAGGATCTGAGCAACTTTGACAAGAGAAAAATTGTGATGGTTAGACAACAGCTAGCATCTCCAAAGAGGAGGTCTTGTGGGGTGCTCTGGGTATGCAGTGGTTAGCACCTAACAAAACAGGAATGGTGGCAGGGTCTTGGGCAGCCAAGGCTCAAAGATGCACATGAGTGAGATCTGCAGCACAAAAGGCTGAAAACCTTATGTTACATATGATACAAAGATGTCAGACCAGACAGTGGATCAACACTTGCTACAAATGGAGCAGCAGACCATTTAGAGCGGCCATTCTGACCCCGTCGTCTACCAAAAGCGCCTACCAGGGGCATGGGAATATCGGAACTAGATCATGAACAAATGGAAGAGGTAGCCTGGTCTGATGAATCATGCAGATAGACAGGTGTTACATAGCCAGATCTATCTCCACAGCATAGTGACAGTGCTGAGGAATGGTTTGGCTGCAACTCACTTTTTTTTGGTGAAAAATGCTCTGGCTTCATTCGCTGCAAAACAGTGACCAGGTCATGTGCTCATGGACCATATGCATGCAAGGAAGTGTCCAGTGTCATTAAAATAGCTAATCCGCATGCACTAAAAAAGCAGACCTACCTTATTGCACAGTCTAAATAAACAGCATTGACAGTTGAAGGTTGTTGTTGTTGCTTCCCGTAGCAAAGAGGACTTTGAAAACAATAATGTACAGATAGTGGCCTCTTACAGCAGGATAATGCTTCCTGCCACACCTTGTTAGGAATGTTTTCAGCAACATTACAAAGAATTTGGAGGTCAATCTGTCTTGACTAGGTCTCAAAATTGCCCAGATCTCAATCCAATTGAGCATCTGTGGCATGTGCTGGAAAAACAGGGCAGTTCCATAGGGCCACACCTCACAACTTTCAGGAATTAAATAATCTGTTGCTAACATCTTGTGCCTAACACCAGAGGAAACATTTAGAGGTCTGTAGAGTTCTGGCCTTGACAGGTCAAAGCTGTTTTGGTGGTATGAGGGGGATCTACACAATACTATGTGGTTTTAATGTTGAGGCTGATACATTACACAAAGCTGATAAATTTGATACATTCAAGAAGATACCAACAGGGATTTATGACAAATTTTATTCCTAGAAGCAGTCTGACTTGGTGACAGACAGGTAAAGGAGCTACCTGGTGGAAATACGGCTGAAGACAGCATTGAAGTTGTTGCAGCTAAGAGAGAAGAGGACAGCTGAGGCTGAGGCCCGGAGCTCAGCGGCGTGCTGGTGGCCCTCACGGTATGTGTGGATGAAATGGCAGATCTCTGGCAGAAGCTGTTTGACCAGCATGGTCTCATCCAGACGCAAGCAGTCCTTAGATTGCTGAGGAGGGAGGACAGAGAGGGCAAAAAGGGCTTGATCTCTTTCTCTTCCATTTGATCATCCATGTTGAAACTCAGAATACATAAACATCTAAAGGAACAAGTCAAACCATGAGAGTGGTACTGTTACTGAACAGCGTACTGAATTAATGTGACACATGTACCATGATGGTGTACAACAAACCATAGCCTAAAACATGAGACCTGTGTGGCTGTGGCAGGAGTTTAATGGGTTGAATTGTTTTAAGGTCTACTTTGAATAACATATTAATGATAAAAACAAAAAAATATCCTGGGGAAAAAAAACTTGGTGAAAGAAACCTGGAACTGGCGACTCAAGCTTGACCGAGAACAGTCCGATTCCATCACAGCCCTAGTAACCTAGCAACAACACTTGACTTGCTTAGCTTTTTGCTACATTACTTTTATTTCAGGTGACACTAAAGCAACCATTGCCTAAACAGGCAAAACGTAAAGAATTACAAGCAAGTAAAAAAAAATGTACAGCTTGAACACAGCATTTCTTTAATACTCTATAGCTCTGCTATGAGTAGAATACATGTTAATACTAGGATGTACTGATTTGTGTGAACTTTATTAAACCATCATCATTCCTCCAAGTGCTATTGTGCACCTTAGCACAGTAGCTGAGAAATTTCATTTAAATTGCGTACTAAAGATTCAGAAGCAGAACTGATGGACATTTTTGGATCTGTATTTACTACATTAGTGTAACTGATTTCAAATCCTTTCTGCAGTAATGCTGGCTTGCTGAACTTGTGATGCTACAAGGGAATAAAAATCTACAGCTAAAAACACATCAGATTCAGTACAAGTAAATACATAATACAGAAACCTGACTCGAATTATAGGCAAAAATCTCTCAACTTGGACAAAGATATCAAGGTCTGGGTAATAATAAATGATCCTTTATGGACGTCAAACAGAAGAAGATTATAATATGACCTTGCATGTTGTTTTTTGAACATCTAACAAAATGTGGTACTCATGTTTAACTGTGGTGCACAGTTCAAGTTTTTTTTGTATATAGTGTCACAAATTTCCCATATTTTGACATGTATTAAAAAATACATTTGTATTGAGAATGATAATGATGCCAACGATATTGTGCCGCACTAACATTCACATCAACTGGAACAATATTTGGCCACATAATGGAGCAGCAGCTTTATCACAAAACTGCATTTTTATGAATTTGGATGCTCTGATTCAGAAGCATAAACCTAACTGCAAATACAGAAAGGTACCTGGCTTCCATCTGACTGTGAATGCTAATGATAAACGTCTGTACAGTAGACTGAGCAGTTCCCATCAGATGCAAGACTTCCACCAAATGCCTGCGAAAGTAATCAGGGCCTGCATCACCAATGAACCTCACAGAGACGTGGAGGGTGTGATTGATGAAGGATAAGTACATTAACAGAGGTTTGTGTCTGCATGAGCACAAACAACAACAAAAATACTGAACCATTAATGGATTTGATTTCATAGTAACACAGGAGAAGGGGGAGGCTTGATCTGGCAGACAACAACCGACACGAAGGCTTTTCATGTAGACATAGGTCAAGAGGTGAGATCAGATCATTTCTAAATAGATTTACATTTGTAAAAGTTGTTCATGTTTTTTTCTTTTTTCCTGTAGAGCAAAACAGCGTGGTCAGAAAGGAGGACTCACCCCAGCCAGGCACTTCTCCAGTGTGTCCAAGATGATGAGCTGGGAGAGGTAGAGGTTCTTCTCAGAGGCCTCTCCAAATATCCGCTGTGAAGACAGTCAAAGTCAAAACTGACTGCTGTACTGAATTTTAAACCAAAGCTTTATATTTAGTTTTCTCAAACTAAGCACATTCAGTCACTTTTGGCAAGCTGCAGTCATAACCTAAGGATAACTGCTTGCTAAAATGATCTAATTGGATTTGGCCGTATCTGAACTTTTCTTTTCTAAGAAGAAGTGCAAATATTGCCACTCATCAGCTTTGTTCTGGTTTTGTTAGATTTTCATAAAATGGTAACACTTCTGTAAAACTGTAATTTTAGTCCAGAGCAGTACAATCCATGCAAAGCTCTGAACTATTTTGAACAGACCTAAATATAATCAAGGGTCTTGGTAATAAGCAGGAACAGATGTATTTTAGTCTCTTATCCACAATATCATTCATGATCTCTTTACCCACTTCCTTTTTCTATTGTTGTGCCATACTATTTAATTGTCTACCATGCATTCCAGGGTCACTTTATTAGGTACAACTCCACAGTGTAATATCATCTAAAAATGATGGCTCTGATCTGAAGTCTACTTTTACAATGCCCATAATGATCAGGTGTGGCTGTTACAGAGGTTTGAATCTAATTCTGTGTTTCAGCACTGAGGCCATAGTAAAGGGTGCTGTTGCACTGGACTGTATTATGTTCAAAATTGTTTCTGAAGTCCTTCCAGACATAGAATAACATTGTTGCCTCATGCTTTAAAGTGATGGTATTGTGTTATTCTGATACACTAGTGAATCTCCAAAAATTAAAACATCGTGAAAAAGTTTAATATTTTCATCAGTTATTTAAGAAAGTGAAAATTTTATATATTTTAGACTCAGGACACGTAAAGTGAAATATTACACGCTTTTTTTGCTTTCATTTTGAGTATGATGACGTACAGCTCATGAAAATCAGAAATCTAGTGTCCCGAATATTTCATTCTGAGTTTCAGTATATTAGTATTCAAACAGAATGAACACTGTGTATCTCTCACTCTAGTTCAGTGAACTCAACCACAATCATGGGGAAGACTGCTGACTTGAAAGTTGTTTAGAAGATGGTCATTGTCACCCTCCACAAGGAGGATTGACTACAGACCACTGGCTGTTGGCAGAGTGCTGTATCGAAGCACATTAGTGGAAAGTTCACTGGAAGGGAAAGATGTAAGAAAAGATGCGCAAGCAGCAGAGATGACAGTAGCCTTGAGACGATTGTCAAGGAAAGTCGATTGAAGAACTTGGAGAGTTTCACAAAGACTGAGGCTGGTGTCGGTGCATCAAGAGCCATGAAGCACAGGTCCATCCATCGATCCATCGATCCATCCATCCATCCATCCATCCATTTTCTCCTCCCAGGTGGATGTGTTCAAAAGACCTCCAGAGGAAGCCTCCCCAAAGGCATCCCAATCAGGTGTTTATACCACCTCAACTGGTTCCTTTCGATGCGAAGAAGCAGCAGCTCTACTCCGAGCTCCCTCCAGATGTCCGAGCTCTTCACCCTATCTCCAAGGCTGAGCCCAGCCACCCTGCAGAGGAAGCTCATTTCGGCCGCTTGTGTCCACAATCTCGCCACGACCCAAAGCTTGTGACCATAAACGAACAGAGCCACAGAAAAGGACTCATAAACAAAGACCCTCAACTCAAAAATAAACACGAGCTGAACCACAACAGCAAAGTAAACCGCACGCAGAACTACTGACACGGAACCGAACACACTACCCAGCGCACAAACCAACACACCATCAAGACTGAACAAAATCCCGAAACACAAAAACTCCCTCGGACCAGCAAAAATGCTAAAAAAATAAAAAAAAAAAAAAAAAAACTCACTCTAATCTCTAATACACTATAATCATCAAAATAAAACAAAAAAAAACACATTATTTTATTCTTATAACATATTTCACTGTACGAGTCATGAACATAGAATGTCTAGAAGTTTATCTTTTTGAATTAAATTACCAAAAAATTAACTTTTTCAGTGTCCTAATTTTTTTAAGATGCACTAGTAGATTCCTTTCATGCTCTAAGGCTTTAGTCGGACATACCCATCACAGTCACTGATAGCGCGGTACTTGCAATATTTTGCCATACACACAAGACTGGACAGTAATAAGTGATGCACAATACATAATGCAATAATAAATACAAGACAGCAGCCTAATAAACAGCTTAGTGCATTGCTTAGCATATTTATGATTTCCTGAAGAGAAAAAATTCTGTCCCTGTATGATGATAATGTGACATGAGCAACAGAAACTTAAAAATGTCCTGCCAGCTCTCATGGAGGGCCACTATGTAACAAAGAATTTAACTGCAGCTGATTACCTCTGTGTGACAGCTCACCTGTCTGAGGTGAACAAAAGTACACAGTGTGACTTTCTGAGCTACACCGTCTCCATTTTGGGGATCATTTATAATTATTAGTAATAAATTAAGTAATCAGCACTGTTGTTCATTGTGCATAAGTGCACATCATTCTCTTGCTGTCTCCATTTGACTACAAGGACCAGGAACATCACTTCACTACCTGAGATAAGTAAAACAAGTCAACTCACCATGTTGTTGACATTTTTGAGGATGTTGGTGAGGCCACTGATGACGAGAGAGAACTTGTACTTGGAGATGTTTATCAGACATTCCTTGTTGTGCTCTGTGCTGATTTTGGTGTGGGTGTTCTGGTGTCCAACTTTAATTGGGAGCTGAAGGAAAAAAACAAAAGAGAATAATGATGGAGTCAACAGACTTTTCAGATCATTGCACTTTAAAGTGAAGTCAACCAAATCTTTCAGTGCATGATGTTTGATTCTGTATGAGGCATTCTAGGTTCAGTACGCTCTGTGATTAAAAATGTTACTGTCAGAAGTCTTTATGTCCATGTCTATATCTGTACTCCTGAATCGAAAACTGTAGAGTCTAAGTTCCACCTGTAACATTTTGGCAGTGCATCAATTTGTTGTTTATTAACTATAGCGTGTAGGATGGGTGAGGCTTTATGAATCTTGTACAATGTGTTAACTCACAAAACACACTTTAATACACCTTCCTGCAGCCACAACCTGCAACGTCTGTACTCATACTGTACAGGTTGATTGACTGGACACTGTGTGGAGCAGAAACTGAATATTAACACCCCCCAGTCACTTGTGACAAAGTTATTCAAACAAGATGGCAATATCCACAGAGTCGATAGAAAGAAAGAACCGCAACATTACTTAGTGCAGTTTGAATGAGGACACAGCACTGTGGCCCCTTTGATGAAAATCAAGTGCTGTACCTTGTTGAGATGTCCATGTGGTGTTTTGTATAGGCTAAAAGACACATCATGAACGAAGTAAGCAATCAAAGTCAAGACTTAGCAATTTCAGCTTTAAAATGCAGTCTCAAAAATTAAAAAATGGGTTCAGAGAGAGTGAAAAGAATGGTTGGGACTTCATAAATCCCTAAATGACCATATTCTAAAGGGAGCAACAGTGTAGACTTACATCTAAGCCATTTTAAGAAACGTATTATTTTCAATTTCTAAATATGGAACTTTCTTGTTCAGCATTTGAGTGCTTTATCTGTTACACGAAGAATTATTGACAGTTTGACACAGTTGATTGCTTTTATTTTTTGAATAAACTCTAAAAAAAAATCACTGCATATGTTTTAATTTCTATGCTGTATCAAAAACATCCATCCATCCATTTTCTATACACCGCTTAATCCTCACAAGGGTCGCGGGGGGGCTGGAGTCTATCCCAGCCGACTAGGGCGAAGGCAGGGGACACCCTGGACAGGTCACCAGTCTATCACAGGGCCACACTTAGAGACAGACAACCAAGCACACTCACATTCACACCTGCGGATAATTTAGAATCACCAAGTAACCTCAACATGTTTGTGGACTTGTGGGAGGAAGCCGGAGAACCCAGAGAGAACTCACACTGCACAGGGAGAACATGCAAACTCCACGCAGAAAGATTCTCCCACCAGGACGCGAACTGGCAACCTTCTTGCTGCGAGGCAACAGTGCTACCTGACTGCACCACCTTGCAGCCCAGTTAACTGCATGTGACTTTAAATTAATTTCAGTTAAATTACATATAAACCTTTGTAAACCTGAATAAATGTGATATGAAGGTGGCTACCTCAAATTTTAGAGTCAAAATCTAAGACAGCAATGAGCATCATGGAGCAGCTAATGTAGCCGTTTCATTCACTTTCATTCTCATTCGTGTGGGATGGCAAACTCAATGACCAATATCATGATTTATCAAGGGCTACAAGGTGGCGCAGTGGTTAGCACCATTGCCTCGTAGCAAGAAGGTTCCAGTGAGGACATCCGGGATCTTTCTGTGTGGAGTTTGCATTTTCTCCCCATGTAGCATGGGTTCTCTGGCTAGATAATGGATGGATTGATTGATGGTTTATCAAGATTTTTTTATTTTTTTAAAAAAAAGACAAGAAAACAAAATACCATGCCTCTTTTTCTTCAATAAAAACAAAAAAATCCAAAAAATGGAAAAAACAAACAATTCTGTGTGACTTCACATCCCCGTTTTCCAGGGACATTCCCTTGTTAAGGATCCCATTGTCCCTATTTTTCACTGAATATAAACAACAGACAGACATTACTCTATGCCATTACTGTCAGTTTTGTTAGTTTTGGTGTGCATACTTAGCGCTTACTGTAGGCAGAACGGGTGGCTCATTTCTAACATAAGACTGTTATCAGGAACGCATTAAGGGGTTATACATCAACCAGTGCAAAATTGTTTTTGATGACTCTGGGGGGAAAAAAAAACACAAAAAAAAAACTGATCATGACGACTGATCAAGTGGTACTGGGAAGAATCAGAACTTGCAGCATAGACTGGGAAAGTCCACTAAATAGTCAATCTAAAAAGACGGAAAAGAAACTAAAGGTAAAATACATTAGAACAGTAACCATCATAAATTCTATAATATTGGTAAGGGTCTTCAGATGCCTTGGTCCTGGAGAGGGTTATACTAGAAACAGGCGTTACCCTTAGTTTAATATAAATCCTGTTTCTAAAGTATAATTGTCCATAATTCAGTAAGAAGCCCACTGTATCTTCTGATCAGCTCCTGTTTATATTTGCTGATCATGCAAACTCAATACTTCCTCCATATTTACCTGTTTTCTTGATAAGACTCTATGTAATACACTTCTATGGCTCCAATTCAGTACAAAGTCAAGTCATACTCAACACTCTGCTCTGTTTTTTTTCCACTTCATGTCATGCTACATGCTAACATCAGGCTGCCAATAGTCAAGCTACAATAATGGTTTAGATCTTACAAAAATGTTTTATTTTCCATTGTCCTAAATAAATGTTCATAGTCTCCCTCTTCTGGAATGACCAATAAATCGACACTTGCATAATGGTGATAAAGGAGTGACTAATGTACAAGATAAAACATATCAGTTACTATTTTGTAATTACATAACAGTAACACTTTACCACATGTAATCTGCTTCACAATATCCTACATTATACACTTCTCTTGTGTTTGACAAAGGTTTTGTTCAACATTGGTCAGCAGTCTCAGACCTAAAAATTGACCCCTCATAGAAAGTCTTGGGACAGGAACTCGACAAAATCCATGGTTCACTTATGAAGTCAGACTGTCACACCATCACATGTAGATAATTCACAATGTCAAACAGGTCATGCTTCTATTTGCAGTCCAGTGCAGCACAGCGTGGTCAGTGAGCTCTTTGTTTCACGCAGCCAGGCCTAGCCTTCCTGTAAAACTCTCACATACTCTGCTGCCAGTTTATTAGGTGCACCTCCCTAGAACTACAAAACAATCTAAAGTCTTCATTTTATTACGTTTCAGCCACACGCACAGACAGCTGCGACCCCATGGACACATAGTTCTTGTTATTAGACTACCGTGTAGTCCACTTGGAGCCCTGTCTGTGGAACACTAGACCAGTTTTACCATTGCAGAGTTGCTAAGGGATCATAGGAGTTTGATCATCTAGTCTACATGTGTTTTGCAGACTTGGTAAGGACCTACAACTGTGTCTCCCAGGGAGACCTGATAGGAAGTGCAGGATTACATGGTACCGGGGCTGTCACAAACCCTCCAATCCTTGTATAACCGAAGTCAGAGCTGTGTTTCTATTTTCAGAACAAATTTTAACAGGTTTTTAGTGGGACTTGGACTCTGCCCCTCGTTTCTAATCCTCATGGCTGTGCCCTGAAGGTGTCTTGTTTGAGAACCTCAGGGCTGTGTCTCTGGTTTTTGCAGATGATGTGGTTCTGTTGGATTCATCAGATCCTGGCCTACAGCACACACTGGGGCAGTTTGCATAATGGTGAGTTGCCGGCCCCTGGCAAAACAATTTCAATATCTCAGGAAGTTGTTCACAAGTGATGGTAAAACAGAGCAGAATCACCAGCAATGCAAGTGTTGCACTGGACTGTTGTGGTAAAGAGGGAGCTGAGCTCAAGGCAAAGCTTTTAATTTACCTTGCTAGTCAATCTAAGTTTCAACCTTCATCTATGGCAGAGCTCCAGACTAAATTTTTCACTAGACCAACATTGTCAGTTAGTTGCAACTCCTCCCGGTCACAGGCGAAACACCTCACCAGCTGAACAGTTGCTTATCGATAGGCACCACATTTATCGATGTTCCCGAAACACCTCACATTGCAAGCTGTGGTAGATGCTGCTAGGTGGCTGCCATGTGCTCAGACAGCTGTGTGAGTAAAAAAAAGAATGAAATAAAGTGCTCCAAAGTCAGATTTGTCCAAGATGAAAACAAGTGAATTTATCTACATGTGCTGTTTTTCTAGAAGTTCAGAAAACACTGCATGTAAATGCGCTACGCCTTTTAGGACCAGAGCGCATTTTAAAATGTAAAGACTGCAGTCTATCATTTTCAAATAGAGATTAGAAGCAAAAATCGTGATTGTGATTAATAACTATTTAATTCTGCAGCCCTGCTACTGCGTCAGCAATTGTAATTGGCTAGCTTGCTGGCTCAATATCTTCCTGACTGCACCTGCACTCTCATCATCAAGTGTGTCTGAGTCAGACGACTTACTCTCTTTTGGCTGAGGAACCTCCTTTCTAGAGGACAGGTTTCCTTCTTGGATGGCAGCCTCTCAGCCCACAGTGATGTGAAACATGTATGAGTGTCATTGACACCAGTGTTCCAGCAGCTTCTGATTTATTGTAGACCTACTTTTTATTGAGTCTTGGTTTGCGGTTGGCCATACCGACCAATAGTCTCTCAGCAGCAGGTAATACATTTTTGGCAGTTACACAACTGTGTCGCACAGATGATTTTGGGATCCGTAGCTGCTTCGAAATGGCTTCAAGTGACTTTCCTGACTAGTTCAAATTGATGATTTGCTGTTTCAGATCAATGCTGTGCTCCTCAGACTTTTCCTTTTTAGTGTTTGTGGCTAAGTCTGATGAGTGCACCAAACAAGTCCTAGTTGAATTGGCTCAGAGAAAACAGCAGCTATAGACAATCATAATCACTCACGAGTTAAGAGGCCATGCCACTACGAAAATTAGATTAACACAACTGTCTACATCACCAAAACTGATAACTCAAGTTTTTGTATGCATATTTTTGACCTAGCAGATTGGGTCTTCTTTTTGCAGAAGACATAGAATAAATCTATGAAAGAACTAAAATGCATGATTTTTTTTATTTTTATTTTTTTTGTGGC